ATGTACAAATGCGCTTTACACAATTGATGTGTGTATGGATTGTGATAAGAGTTGTATGAGACCCTAATAAAATGATTAAAAAAAAAAAGATTTGCAGTCTCAGACAGGGTATCTATGATAATGGCGTTAGAAGGAGTGACCAGGAGCCCTTGTGACATAGCCGGTTAGGTGTTGTGTCTGCTAACACAAGGTCAGTGGTACAAGCCCACTAATGAGGAGAAAGTTAAGGACGTCTGTCTTCATTAAGATTTACAGCCTCGGTAACCCTAAGGGAATTCTGCCCTGTGATCCAGTCGGGAGGGCTGAGTGGGTGGAAGAGGAGGTAATTAGCATCACTGGGGAACCGCAACCGTGAGAACCAGTCTCGAAGGGCAGCGGAGACAAAGACGGCGTGGAGCGTGCTGCTCGGTCCGCCGTCTCCGCTGGCGGCGATCCCGGGGAGGCTCCCCGGCCGGCCGGAGGGGCGTGGCTACAAGCCCGCGCGGGAAAGGGGCGGGCGCCGCATGCGCGCGCTCAGACAGCGGCCGCGCGCAGCACGCTCAGGTTTGGGATGGCGGCGGCGGCGACGGGGAGTGGGGTATCCCAAGAGGAGGAGGGGCCTAGTGGCGAGGCAGTGGCCCCGCAGCCTCAAGCCCCGACGACTGGGCCTGGGATGCGTCTTTCGAGGCTCCCTCTGGCGCGAGTAAAGGCCCTGGTGAAGGCGGACCCCGACGTGACGCTCGCCGCACAGGACGCCATCTTCATTCTGGCACGAGCCGCGGTGCGGCGCGAGCGCGGGCCCACCCCGCGGGCGGTAGCGGGAGGGAGAGAGAGCGCGCGCGCCAGCGAGCCGGGGCAGCTGGGGGCGGGACTTCGGGGACGTCCTAGGGGGTGGAGCTATGGGGGCGGAGCTTAGCGGCGTTTGGGGCGGAGGCGGAAGGGGTGGGCGGGGTTTGCTGATAGACTCAGCTGAGGCGCTAGGCGGAAAGAGTTCCATGCTTGCAGTAGTTGTATTGGTTTGTTCGCTCTCCGGGCTCCTCAAGGGGACCTGGGTAGCGATTTTAATTTGCGTCAAAAGTGGCTAACACACTTTATAGGCGTCTCAAGTGGATGAGTGAGTGATTGACAAGTAAAAGGAGGGGATTTGTCATTCTGGGCTGTTGGAAGAGAGGAAGGGGAAGAGACTAATGAAACTCAAGACAGCCTTCAACTTCAGGGGGGCGGAAAAAAAACCCTCCCCGCAACAACGGGCATTGCTTACCAAGAACTGCTAGATCCCACTGATAAACTCCTGTTTGCTCCGCAGGAATTGTTTGTGGAGACCATTGCGAAAGATGCGTATTGCTGCGCTCAACAAGGAAAGAGGAAAACCCTCCAGAGGAGAGACTTGGGTAGAGTGTCGTATGCTTTTTGGAGGGAAACAGGAGGGCTGGTCTGGGCTTCTCTTTTCCCCAGTGGAGAAGCTATCGTTATGCTGGGAGGGGTGCCCCAGGGTCTAGAAGGAATTCCTGATAGGAAAGGATCCATGGTATTTAGAAAGTATCCCTATGCGAGGTGGGGTGCCACAGGGTCTTTTGGGCGGTTTTTCCATTGACCTGGCACAGTGTCCGAAAGCCCTAACTTCAGAGGCTCAGCTTTGAGTGGCTGGAGGTGTGGTGGAGCAGAGTATGGAGGGAGCGGAGGAGAGATCCCCTCTACTGTATTGTAGCAGGCTTGACAGTTCTTGGGACTATGGGTTGGGTTGGATTACTGAGCCCTTTGTCTCTTTGGTAATGTTCTGAACATGCGTGAGTTCCCATCTATGAAATGAGGAGACTAAACAAGTTTTGCTACTACGATTCTAGTTCATACATGCATGGGTTTATTACAACAAAATGTGTTTCAGCAGGTCTCTGTGATCAGAAGATGGCTGCAGGCTAGTTCTTTTTTTCCCCTTCTTTGTCAAACTGTATTAAATTTTATATCCGTATGAGAGGTCTTTTATATTCTATAATTCCAGGCATCATCTGGCTGGTAATGTGGCAGTAGTGACTTTGGGAATCTGGTCTCCCAAAAGAACCTGCCGTGGCTGCCCACCCCTCCACTGGAGCCATCTGCTCCATGGCCAGAGTGAGGGCCTTGGCAGTAAAGTGCAGACATGCTTCCCTGGTTGTGCCCTCCCAGTATGTGGCATCAACGGAGATAAAGGAGCTCCAGAGCCTCCAGTGGCGAAGGACTGCCTGACCATCATCTACCCCCATGGGCACTGAGTACACCTGCCCTCCTCCTTGGGGATCCCAGCCCCTCCTGCCATCAGGTGTAATGGTAATGCAACTCCTTAAAGAGGCTGGTTGCTGTGTGCACCAGCAGAGGCTCATTTAGTTCAATGCTGTGGAAGCCAAGCTGGTAAGTGGCAGGATCAGCTACAGCCTGAATATCAGCAGCTGAGCCCGAGCGGCAGCGACTAATCGGTCATGAACTGGAGCCATCTGCTCCACGGCCAGAGCGAGAGTCGGGGTAAGCTTGTCAGTCACTTGATTGGTGATGTGGGACCTGCTGGTGGTTCTGGAGTCACCCCAGAATCACGTGCCTGTCACGTTGCACAGAGAGGCTAGTTCTCAATCTTGTGTTTTTTTTCTTCTCAGTATTGCTAAAGGTACCTCCAATAAAAGGTCCAATCAGAGTAGTGGCTTCTGAGGGGATCTCCTGGGCCACTGAAATTGAAGGCAGACAGGTGGGCTCAGAAGGCTATAGTGACTGTTTTGGGGGTAGTCATGCCAGATATTCTCAAAGGACACAGGATGATCACAGGGACTTAGTAGGAAAGGTTTCCAGAAAATTGAAAGCCTTAACAGGAGAGGAAAAGGCCAACAGCATTGTGTTGGAACATTTTTCCATCATGACAGCGCACCTGCTAACTTTGGGGGGTAGCAGGAGTGGTCCTAGGGGAATCTCACGGGGAAACCTTATCCCATCCACCCTACACCTCTGAGTCCCTCAAGGATGCCCAAGCTGTCATTTTGATATGATGTAAATGGAAGAGTACAGAGTTAGTTCTCTGGGGGAAGGGTTGCCAGGTGCTGTTGAGTTGAGTTGGTTCTGCATCGTCATCCTCACAAATGTTCTTATGCTTGAGCCCATTGTTGCAGCCGCTGTGTCAGTCGATCTTGCTGAGGTTCTTAGAGAGCTGGAAATACCTGCTTTAGAAATACATCCACCTAGCTGGGAGACGTGTGAGAAATAATGTTTTGTTTAGTAGAGGTTGCTGTGGTTTTGTAGCAATGCTTTTGACTTACTCTGGCATGCGCACTTTGTTTGCTGTGTTGCTGAGCTCTAAAGGCTTTCACAGGAGTTCTTTCAATGTAGGTTTGAATCGGAATAGTAGGGCTTAGATTTTTTCTTCTTCACCGAACCATATGTGACCTGGCTTTTCTTAACTCTTGTGACTAGGGATACATGTATGGATGGACTATATATTGTGTATGTATTCATCAATTGGTAGGTGTGGTGCAGTGATTTATAACTCCTTTGTAAGAATTTGTGGCCCACACTGGAGATCCCCTTGCAGAGGGGTCTCGGGGAGGAGACAAGCCAGTCAGGGTGCGATGTAACAATGATGAGAAATACAACTTTCCTCTAGTTCCTAAATGTTTCCTCCCCGCTCCCACTTCCATGACTCGAATTCGATCTTGCAAGACTGGCTAGACCAGAGGAGGTACACTGGTACAGATAGGAACTGAAAATACAGGGAATCCAGGACGGATGAGCCCTATAGGACCAGTGGTGTGAGTGGCAAAACAGGGAGGGTAAAGGGAGAATGGGTAGGAAAGAGGGAACCGATTACATGGAACTGTGTGTGACCTTTTCCCTGGGGACAGACAACTGAAAAGTGGGTGAAGGGAGACGTCGGACAGGGAAAGATATGACAAAATACCCATTTATAAACTATCAAGGGCTGATGAGGGAGTGGGGAGCGGGGAGGGAGGGGAAAAATGAGGACCTAATGTCGGGGGTTTAAGTGGAGAGAAAATGTTTTGAGAAACGATGTACAAATGCGCTTTACACAATTGATGTGTGTATGGATTGGGATAACAGTTGTATGAGCCCCTAATAAAATGTTAAAAAAAAAAAAAGAATTTGTGGCCCAGTAGAAATAAACCCCAACTACAGGTTCAAGGTGGTAATCTGAAAATGTTATAATGCCATTCTTACTAATAAGGTGGTCACCATGTGGTTTGTGCTATTTGGGGCTAATGTCCAAATGATTAGAATTAGTTAACTGGCCTTTACTTTGTGTTTCAGATAATGCAATAGAAGCTGTGGATGAATTTGCTTTTCTGAAAGGTGAGTTCACTATCAGTGGGTAATCACTTCTACCTGTATCTTCCTTGCTAGTGCTTTCAGTTTAAATCTTTTTTTTTTTTTTTTTCAGTTTAAATCTTTAGGAAATGAATGGTTGGCTTTTCCTTGCTTTGTTAGCATATTTATTTCTACTTCCTGGTAGATAGATAACACAGACTTGCTAAATCGTGAGATTCCTGTGTTTCGTCCCTTGTGACAGAACGTCCTGAAAATGATAAGCCATAATGAAATGGGAGAGGATATAAAGACCCTGGTGGAGCTGGATAAATCCAGAAGTCTGACTCTGACTATCTAGAGATAGAAACCTTTTTCTTCATCCTAATACTAGAGATCAGAAACAATTCTTGTTCCTTTTCCAATACATAAAGTGACTATTTTGCAACAGTGAAATTTCTGCATTTTTGTATCTGTTATGTTAGGAATTTGGATTAACTTCTGTGAACTAACTAAATCTTGTCACTGAAATAGCAAATATTTGAGCTCCCTTCTCTCAGAGCTATTTCTGCTACTTTTTGCTACTTATGTTCTGTTGAATGGCTTTGTGAAAGCCGTTTGCCCTCAGTTCATTCTCACCTTCACCCCCACCCCCACCCCCCACCCCACGGTGTTATCATCCTTTCTTTCGTGCCTCATTACCCTCAGAAGTTTCTTGATTTGTTTCACCCTTTAGATCTTTGTTCTATACCCCCCTATCAACCTTGGTCCCATAGTCTTTTGATCAATTCTTTCAAATGTCTTTTAGTTCGTTAATTGACTTCCTGTAAGCCTTTTATTCACAAATGTTGGAAGCTTCTTTCCTGTTCAGTTCTAATTACCAGCTCTTTTGTAGAGATGAGAGATAGGATCAAATTTGTATTGTAAAGAGATGACACTAGTGCCCTTTGGATAATAGTAAGTTGGCAGGGGTGGGAGGTGCCAAGAACAGAAATGGAGAAACCTTAAGTGGTTTTTCTCTCCATAGCCCCCTCCTCTGTGGCTCTCTTCAAATCCAAGGCCACCCTACTTCAGATCTCCCTCCTTTCTGCTCCCCATTGCCATGCCAGCCTCCAAGGAGTTTTCTCTTGCATGGTGTGGGCAGTAGTTGTTAAAATGCCATCTAGCATTTGCTTTCTATTGCTCTCTAATTACTTGTGTGTATTTGACTAGATTCCTTATACTGACTCTCTCCGCTGCCATGGTCTAATGCCTCCCTTGGACTTCTGTTGCCATTAGATACCGTTAGCTCAGACTCACTGGTGATCCATGAACAGTGGAACGAAACATTGCGAGGTCCTGCACCATCTTTGGTAGGCGCAAGTGCAGTGTTCGGACCCCTGGGAATCAGAAGACTAGGGCCTCCTCATAAATAGCTTTATCAGACAATATTTGATTATACTCCAGAGGGCTTTCGGTAGTTAATTTTCAGAAGTAGATCGACAGGTCTTAGTTTGTCTTAGTCTGGGAGCTCTGCTGAAACCTGTCCCGGTAGGCCTTGGACGTGAAGAGAGCCAAGGGGAAGAAGGATTTCATTGTCCGTTGTTTCTCCGAGTGCCATGTCATGGTCATTTCCTCCATATGTCAAGGTTCTGATTTATGTACGAGTCATGATATCTGAAGAGTTACTTGTTGGATAGTTTGAGGCCTATATAATAAATCCTTTCTCCAAAGAAGGTTTCTCTTTGTTGTCTCTAGGCACCCGGGGAATGAGCCCTGTTGGGCCTCCTTAGTCCAACTCTAAGGCTTGAGGATTCCTGGTCATCTGTGGTGCAGGCGAGAGTGTCTGCCTTCCCCTGAGGGTGCAGCGTTTTGGGACTCTAGCTTGAAGAAAGGAGGATTGTCAGACCTTCCCTACATGGCCGGATCCTGGCATTTGGCTGTTGGTGCCTGAGCTGTCCAAAAACATGCCTGGTTTCTCAGCTGTATCTTTCAGACTGCCAAATGCCTTCAGGAAAAAACAGCATTGGAGGCCAAGTTTACTTTGTCCTGCCTGCTCTAACTTTTAGATTTGCCCTTTAAAATTTTTTAATTAATTAATTAATTTTGGATTTGCCTTTTCTTACTGGCTTTTCATTGCTTAGAAAAAATATTTATATTCAGCTTTATTAATGAGTTTCAGCATAAACTTGCCATTTTTAATCCATTTATGGAAAAAATAGAGATATGCTTTGCTTTTCTCACATTACTATTCTTCTGAATTTATTAAAGGTTTTTATTACTGTTCTTATTTTTAATAAACTTTGGTCTCTTTACGAGGTAGGCTTTCTTCAAATGCATGGTGATATGTGAATTTTCACTGTATTTAAGAATGAGGGACTAAGAAGGCTGTTTGGAACTTCTCTCTGTGTGTGTGTGTGTGTGTGTGTGTGTAAGGTTGTTGCCTGTCAGCTCTATGGTAGGGTGAACAGAGATGGCATTAGATGTTGATGTTATACTGGGGGACCCCAAACTAGTCCAGTTCTCTCCACAAGGCCATTCATTCTTTAGAGGAGCCTCTGAGGTTTTTCCATGTCAAGTTCAAGGACCTGTCTTTTGGACGTGCTATGTGCAGGGAAAATTCAGGGGTGGGGGGAGAAAGGAGTCAACTCTTTTGCATACAGACCTTCAAGTATGAACCACTTTTAGCCTAGCCTTATGTCACACCTTGCTCCCTGCCATTCTGGTGTTTGCCTCTGGACTTCCCCTGGTACTCAGCAGGTAGGTTGCTTCTACTTGCAAGCCCTTTTGGGTACAGGGTAGACTGATTTTTGCTCTGCTGAATTTTTTTAAAAACAGTCTGATCAGACTTTTATTCAGATTTTTGTTGCGCTCAGGAGGCTTAATTGTAGGTTTATATTTTTAAAACTCAATTTTCCTTTTGAATGGACTCTTGGAGTAGGGTGTACACAACTTGTGGACTCATTCCCTGATTTTGGACTGGAACTTTCTAAAATGATTTTTAATTCTTTCCTTGCAAAATGTACTTCATTTTTTCTTGTACTACTCACCTCGTGTATACCATGTCCTTATGCAATAGTGCATGTGTTCTATGGTTTTACATAACATACAAACTGCCTGTGTGGTTCTCATAAGCATGCTTTACCAGTATATTTCTAGTGTTGTTGACATCCGTTTCCGGTTTTCTTCATTTGTCCAATGAATTTAACATTCACTCTTTCTTCATCTTAGTACCTACTGATGTGCAGGGTTGGTTCCTAGCAGTGGCCCCTCCCTAGCCAAGCCCTGTGTTTCTAAGCAGCTCTTCCCCTGGCAGGAGCCCTTTCCCTCTCTACAGACTGCTTCCTCTAGTGCAGGGAGAAATCACTTTTTTCCATCCTGACCTGAAACAGCTTTTGACAGGGTGCTGGCTCTGGCCTAAGAGGAATGTCGTTCTTTGCACCCAGGCCGAGAGGTCACCCAGTTGGACAAGGTCAGCACCATAGCTATACAAATTCTGTCTTGACCTGAGATAGTTGGCTGCTGTGATCAGATTGTTGGAACCTCCTGCTCACACAGAATGGCGAGTATGAGACCCTCGTGTATCGAGGGATTGATGTGGGTCTGATTGACTGCCTAGGGGCCTTGTGGGGCTGAGACGGTGTGTACCTATGCCTGCTCTGCCCTGTCACTGCCCTGTCACTGCAATTACATGTGGGGCCAGCCTCGAGGGACCTGAGTGCTCACTTGCAATGGTCTCTGTACACCATGGGGCTGCTCGTGCTTGGACTGTGGCAGCCCTGTGTGCCACCCTGTGCCCATCTCCAGCTCAATGTACCTGGGCACAGAGCAGATACAGTGCGCTCAGGCCTGGCCAGAGCAGATGCTCGGTGTCAGGGATTATGTTCTGATTATGTGTGCCCTACCTCATGACCATGACTCATACCTTTACTATACAAATAGCATCCAAAGTGATGGTATCTGACTAATGGGCACCTTGTACATAAACACAGACCACACGCAATAAAGCAAATATGTGAGTTTTGTGATATATATATATTTGTAATGGTATCCCAGTCCATATAAAACTTACATTTACATTACACTGCAGTAAAAGGAGCGCTGGTAATGTAATGGTTTTGCTAACCGCAAAGTCAGCAGTTTGAAACCACCAGCTGCTCCGTGCTGGAGGAAGACGGGGCTTTCTACTCCCGGAAAAAGTTACACTCTCGGAAACCCACAGGGGCAGTTCTGTTCTGTACTGCAGGGTTGCTGTGAGTCGGAATCAAATCAGGGGTGGCGAGTCAGGCAGTATGCAGTTGAATTCCAAAAATGTTTGAAATGTTTGAGAATTACCACATGTGACACAGATAGTAAGTGAGCACACGCTCTTGGGCAAATGATGCCAATACACTTGCCAATTGGTAGAAGACATGGTGTCTGCAATGCACAGTAAGGCATAGTGCCATAAAGCGAGGTATGCCTATATGCGGGGTCCTGCCCCTTTTCAGGGGAGAAAAAATTACCGAGCGCCCCCCTTGCAATTAAAAACTTTTGTACTGTAGCCCAAAATCCAGAATAACATGTAAGTGTCTGCTTTTGCACCTCCCTGGATCACTGTGGTGCCCGAGGGCCTGGGGTCACCCACTTTGGAAAACATTGCTGTGTTGGATGACGGTGACCCAGGCTGCAGTTCACTTCTGGAAATGTCACAAGTGTGATTGTGGATGCATGCGCATGCGATGTCAGAGCTTTCTGATACACATTTTCACCAGCAAAGCCGTATGAATGCGCACTAGCACAGTGACTTAGCACCTTCCTGTCTCTCATTCTTACTCTCAGAACTCGTATGGTAGTCTGTCCATCCTCCCATGATGCATTTTCTCCCCAGGAGTCTTCTGAATGGATATTCCTCAAAACTATTTTTTGGCTTCTGAGAAGGGCTGCAGCTTCCACTTGAACTTTGCTCAGTTTGTTGCACAATCCCCAAGGTGCCTTGCTTTTTATACATCACTCTTTGTATTTTCTAGGTACTTTGGATTGATTGAGGAGCTTTCAGTGGGAGCCTTTACCTGCATCCTTCAGCCAGCCCCACCCTGAAGGGCCCCCGCTCTGCAGCACACTGTCTGTGGAATATTTCTCTCTTCTACCTTCATTCGTGCCGGGACAGCCCGAGATCTCTACAAAGTCTTCCATTCCGTGAATCCGTTTTCCACTCAGGCTGGATACAGCCGCTGCTGGCCAGGGCAGAGTTTGGGAATGTGTTTTGCATATATTGCTCGGTGAATGGAGAGGACTCAAATAAAGTTTCTGACCAGCTTCAGTGCACTTGGTTTCATACGCTGCCTTTCCCTGGGGAACCACCATGTCCAGTCTTCCGCCTGCCCGTCACCCTGCCAGCCATTCGAAACCTCAGCCTTGTTTTGCTCTTCACTTTCTCAGCAGAATATGGATCCAGAATTTAAAACATGCCACATACGGCTCTGAAGTTTCACATAAACATGATGTTAGATTGTAAAACTAAACTTTTGTTTTCTAAGGGTGGGGTGGGAAATAGGAAGGAGGCTTGGCATTTAGACCATTGAGGTGAAGGAGCAGGAGCCCAAGTGTCTTAGTAGGGTTAGCTTTGGTAACCATGATCAGCGTTTCTAACCCTAGGGAGAAAGGTGAGCAGTCTGCTCCGAAGGATTTACAGTCTCGGAGACCCTAAGGAATAAATTTCTACCTTACGGGGTCCCTGAAAGACAGAATCAGCTTGATAGCAGTGGTGGTTTTGTTTTTTTTCAATTTTAATTTTTCCTCAGTCTTCATGACAGCCTTGAAGAAGCCTGGTACAGTTGTTCCTAAGTATTTTTTTTTTGAAGTATTTTATCTTACTCCCAGATAAAATCACATGGGTCTCCCTAGAAAAATGATTAGATGCTCAGTCCTAACACTTTTTTAAAATTCCCAAATATTTTAGAATAATTTTAGATGTACAGAAAAATTGTAAAGATAGTTACAGAGAATTTTAGCATACTCCTCAGCTAGTGTCCCCATTGTCCACATCTTATATTACCATGGTTCATTTGTCCAAACTAAGTAACAGTCATATGTTCTTAATAACTAAACTCCTGAAATGTTTAGATAACAGGCACTAATAATGGCATGTTTCTGCTCCAAGACTGTTCAAAGCACTGTGCAGCACTGCACTGAATTGCCTTGTCTCCCCAGACTTTCCTCGTTTGTGAGGCCTCCGCAGGCAGGTCTTTCCTCATTTTCCCTGGCCTGGCAGCCATGAGGGAGCATCGGTCACGTGTCCTATAAAATGTCCCCAATCTGCCTTTGCTCTCTTGTGAATGTAGACATGTTTGCTTGTGATTTCAGGGGTTACACAGACCCTTGAAGCCCTTGCTTGACCCTACTATTATCAATGCACATGGTAATATGAAATTATAAAATACATCCAGTTGGTAGATCACCATACTAATGTAAGATTGCCACAGTTTTTTAAATGATAAAAACATTGGATATATTTCAGTAAAAGTTTTTAAAGTTTTACTTATCTATGTATATGTATGTATTAGATCTTATGTAAGATGTATATGGTGGGCAGACTTTGGACCCCCATGACTTGTTGCATGTTGATGTTATGTTTATAAATATGTTACAATATGTGGCAAAAGGGATGTTGTGGGTGTAATTAAAATTACTAATCAATCATAAAATACACATTTCTGGATTATCAGATAATGTGTGCTTAAAAAAATGCTTTTTCCTGGCCTGGCCGAGGAGATAATTGGATGTCAGATGATGCCAGAAAATAGAAGTATGAAAACTCAAACGGTTGTAGCTAACTTTAAAGATAGATATACCTCCCTTTAGATGCTGAGCATGACCACCGCCATCTAGCCAGCAAGGAAGTGAGGACGTCAGTCCTACAGCTTCATGGATCTGCATTTTGCCAGGGACCTGAAGGAGCTTGGGAGCGGATGCTCCCTTAGTGTTTCCAGAGAAGGGCCCAGGTCAGTTGACACCTTCACTTGAGTCTTTGAGATCCTGAGCAAGGGATCCAAGCACACCACGCCAGACTTCTGACAACCGGTGGCATTACGCAGGAGCGGCTGCGTTTGCCGTCGTTCGTTGTGACCGCCACAGGAAGCTGCTGGGATGCACTTCTAACTGAACGGTAAGGAGGAAAACACCGCTTTCCTGGAAAGGACTGAGGACAAGGCTCTGAAGACTTCAGATTTCACCCAGCTCTCTCATCTCCATTGACTTAACCACTTACCATC